GCAGCCGTTCAAGTACTCATGGGGTGCTACCATGTCCCCCACGTGGCCTCCCCTTCTGGAGGCCAAACGTGCCCAGTCGTCTCCCTCTCCTCACAGGGCTTCGCCTCCACTCCCCGGATCATCCTTGTTGCCCTCCTCCGAATGCCCTTTAGCTGCCTGCATCTTTCCTGAAGTGTGGGGCCCCGAAATGGACCCCAGGGGACCCCAGGTGTGGCCCCATCAGTGCTGGGTAACAGAGACCCGGTCCTCCACGTGGTCCGGGAGTGCTAGTGTGCCAGGCCGCCTCAAGCAGCGCCTGCTCGTTTCCGCACCGCATCTCCTTGATGGCGCATGGTCCGCTTGTGACCTACAAGAGCCCCAAGATCCTCTCACTTCCCGCACTGTTGAGCCAAGCACACCCCACCTGGTAACTGCCTTTGGCTCCCTTTTCCTGGGTGTAGAAGGCGGCATCCCTCAGGGCAGATGGCCTTCAGCCCCGTGATCCAGCCTATCTCACTCACCTCGAATCTGCTTTCAGTCTCCCGAGGCATCTGCCGTCCCACCCGGTTTTGTATCATTTGCAGTTTTCATGATCATTCCCTACACCTCTTCATCCAAGGGATGAAATAAAAAGATGGCGGTTCGATTCTGTGGCCAACTGTAGATCCACCGCAGCTGCTCCCTCTAGTCCACTTTGAGCTAGTCTGTTAATTGTGGGGCACTTTGCCCAAAGCTTTGCTGACATCAAGATGCGTTACGACTCCAGCCTCCCAAAGGCCACCAGGGAGGCTACGCAATCCGAAGATGAAACCAAAACCGATGGGATGAAAACAACGAGCTGCAGCAAAGCCTTCCGCCAGGACGCCCTGGGCCTGCAACATGCCCACCCGGGGGCCCTCATGGAGAGGGTCCAGCCCCACAAGCCCAAAGGCCAGGTGAACCCCGGCCCCCTCAACAGCGCTGGCCTGCGTCGGCCCATCGCTCCTTCCCCCTCCAGGGTCGTGTGGCTTCTCTGCCAGTGGGCCCATAACCCTCTTGTGCAAGACACAAGCCAGCAGAACGCGTGATGGCCAGGATTTATAGACAGAAGCTGCATTGCTCCAGGCCGTCACTTGCTCTTGGGCCACCGAGCTGAGGGCTACCTACGCTGGCCAGCCACAGCCCCAGCTAGGCTCCGAGGCGAGGCCCATGCGCACACCTTGCAGCTCGATCACAGCCCACCGGAAGAGCCCTGAGGCAGCATCCAGTCCACATGGTGGCCAGCCAGATGCCCCAGGGAAGCCCGAGGACCATAACGCCTCCCCGCCAAGTTCTCAGCATTCAGAGGTGCCCTGGCCCTGGCCGCCACCTGCAACCGCCAGGACTGGGAGCGGCTGGCGGCTCTTCCCTCGTGTACTCATCTGTGGCCCCTCCACCTCGTGCACGTGAGCTCCACTGATCAGTGCTGTGCCATGCGAGGAAGATTCCTCCCGGTTGTCCTGAATCTACCATTCACCGGCTTCACGGGATACCCATCCTGCAGCCTGGCCTAGGACGGAGCAAATATGCCCGTCAGAGCGGAGATGGAGAATGAGCATGAATAGCCGGCTCTCTGCCAGGGCTTGCCAGTGCCCATTGCAAAGGCCCCAATTCTCCTGAGAAAGGGCAGGTGGGGCCCAGAAGCCTTCCCCCTTCCCTTCCAGCACTCTGGGCTGGGTAAGGCCGCTCGGGTGGGAAATGTACCCCCCCCCCCGCGCTTCCGACATTGGCTGGAATGATCCCCTCCTTCCTAGCCTGCCTGGGGCAAAAACCGCCAACCCCCCAGGGCCCTTTGTGGGAATCCAGCCTGGCCTGACCTGCCCCTGCGGGCACAAGGAAGCCCTCCGTGGCTCCATCACAGCCCCAGACACGTGACTTCACCAGGCGCCGAGCAGCATTGAGAGATGGGCAGCACCTGTGGGGCGGCCTCAGTTCCTTGGGGTGCGGCAGAAGAGCTGCCAGGATGCGGTGACTGCTCCCAATTTGGGGAGCAACTGCCTGTCTCCCCCGCAGGCCTTTGCCCAGCACCCCGCTGCCTGGGCCATTTTTCTGGGCACCTTCACTGCCTGCCTGCCTGCTTCCTGGAGTGAGACCACGGGCCGCCCCAGCAGGTCCTGCCACGCTCTCGCGGGGGGATGTGGCCTGCGGGGCTCAAAGCTCCCCCTTCTGCGGAAACGCAGCCGTCAGCAGCGCGTGGGGGCTGGGAGGGGAGCGTGTCGGGGGCTGCGCTCCGGGAAGGGGCCCTGCGCCCACGCGCCAAACATGGGGCATCGGCAGGGCAGGCAGAGCGCCCGCCTGGCCCGGCGCCGCAGCGGCTCGCCGGGGACTGGTAGGGCGGGCGGTGCCGCGGCGGCTTCTCCAGCGCGGCCCTCTGCCTCGCCCCAGGTGCGCCGCGCGGAACGCCCGCCGCGCCGCGCTGCCCCGCGGCCCGGGAAGCGCGGCACTCACCTGCCCGCCCGGCTGCCCGCGCGGGATTCCGCAGGGAGGCTTCGGCCGCTGCCCGAAGAGCTCCTCCAGGAGCTGCAGGTCCAGATCCACGGAGCAGCCGCGCCGCCGCCCGCACCCCGTCCACACGCTCCGGCGCCCGCGAATGCGCTCCGCCGGGATGGCCTCCCAGTTGAAGTTGCGCAGCCGGGCCGAGCGCCGCCCGGACCGACCGCCGGCGCCGGCCGCTCCCTCGCCGGCCGACGCGCCGCTTTGGCCGAGGCCCGCCGGAGGAGGAGGGGGTGGCGGCGGCGGGGCGGCGGCGGGCTCCCGCGGCGGGGACGCGGAGCGGCGGGGGCTCGCGGGCGCCGCAGAGCCTGCCCGGTTGTCGAGCGAGGCGGCGGGGCTCCGGACCGACACCATCGCGAAGGCGAACGCCCCGCAGTCGGCCGCGGCCTCCGCAGGAGCGGGAAAGGCGTGCCCGGCGGCGCCAGGACGTTCTCGCCCGTGCTCCGGATTGTCGCCCTTGTCTGCAAGAGCGGGGCGCTCCGCGCGTCCAATGCAGCCCCAGGAGCGGGGCTGAGCAGGCGTTCCCGGGCGGCCGAGTCCTCCCTCCGCCCCCCCGCACGTCGTTCACAGCCGGCCGCCTGCGAAGCCCCGCTTTCCCGTCCACGCCCCGCAGTGTCTCTTTAAGGAAATCGGGAACCCAAAGCACCCGACGAGGCAGGCGGCGCCGGGAGAAAGAGAGGCGGGCAAGACGCCCAGGGGCGCGCAACTCCCGCACTCAACCACATTCGCGGCGAAGCTCCGGCGGGCCGGACGTGGGGCCGAGCACACCCCGTCGAAGGCTGGAGGGGCGGGCACTAGAGGCCTGCATGGAGGGAGCGCCGACTTCGGCCCAGCGCGGCTCCAACGGCTCCCCTTTCCTCGCTTCCCGCCTCCGAGACAGCGGCGGTTTGGTTTGGGCCGCCTGCTCCTTTCAAAGGGTCTGCTCCGGAAGCCCAGGCTGGGAGGGCCGCCCGCCCCACGCTCCTGGGACGCGCTCGGCACGTGGGCGCGGCGGCTGAAGGGCGCCCGCCGGGCTCCATTCCGGCCCTGCCCCAGGCGGCTCCTCTTCGCGGCCAGGGCCCTGCGGAGCCGGGGACACCCGTGGCTTCCCTCTCGCTAACACCAGTGCTGCGCTTTTGCTCCGGGGGGCGCAAACCCCAGGCCCGCCGAGGCCGCGACTTGCGCCCCCCATGCGCTGTGGCTTCGCACGGCTCCCGGCCACCCCTCCGTTTCTACGATGGCTTCCCGAGACCTGTTGCTGCCGCCAAATGCCTGCTCGCCGGCAGCGGAAAGACGAGACGAAATCGCAGGGCGCTCGCCTGGGGGCCTTTGCGTGGCACCAGAAGCCGCCGGGCGGCCTCTTGCCAGCCAGGTGGGCCGCAGGGCCGGGCTCCCGCCGTGGGGCGGGGAACGTCTAAGCGGCCGCCCGAGGGAGGCCCCGCCGCCGGGCGCTCCCCTGCCGCGCTCGGGCGCCGCGTGGCTCGCGGAGACGCCTCGGCAGCCCCGAGGCTCCAGCCCGTGCGTTCCCGTCCGCCGACGCGCTCTTCTGAATCAGCGGCGCGCCTCCGGTCCCGCGAGGCCGGGCACGTGCGCCCAGCGCCGCCCCGACGGTGGCTCGGGAGCAGGCCGCCGTGGCCCGCGGTCTTCAGCCGCGCAGGCCCGCCTCCGCCAGCAGCCCCCTCGCCCGCGGCAGTTGCGGCGCCCGCGGGCGGACTCGGGAGGGAGGCGACGGGCGCCCCGCACAGAGAAGGGCCCTTCGTTCGCGAGGGCGCCGCCGCCGGGCGCCGCGGGGCAGGAGACAGGGCGCCCGAGTCGGGGGGGGGGGGCGCGCCTGCCGCCCGCCCTCCTGAAGCGCCCCGGAGGAGCCTGGGGTGGAACGAGGCCCGAGCTGCGCCGCCCTCGCCCTCCGCGCGGCCGGGCTACGGGGCTGCGCTGGGAAAGGAGGCCAGAGGACAGCGCTTCTTCGGCTTCGCAACAGAACTTTATTTCCAGACCCCTTTGATTGTCTTCAGCGAGACTGGCCGGGGCCTCCTCGCCCCATTGCCACGCGAGCTGCACGTGCTCCTGGGATTGAGGCACACGAGGGGGGTTGGTCCACGAGAGGCGGCCGCACGCAGCCCCGAAGGCACCTAGGCTGGCCGGAGCGGGGCCGCTCTCCCCTCCCAGGGGGCTCCAGATCCTAGTAGTTACTGCCTCCCCCCACCCCACACGCTGCCTGGGGCACCGCCGGCAGACTCCCCCAGGCGCTCCTGCAGAGCCGCGTGACCAGAGCAGACTGCTGCAGACAGACGCGGCTGGGCCCAGCCAGCTTCTGCACAGCCCCCATTTCCGCTTCCGCCCCCCAAGCCCACCCGCCCCCGCCCGAGTGAGGCAGCCAGCCTGTGGTCAGCCCGAGCCGCAGGCCTGGGGGCAGGAGGCGGCCTGCTGCCCCAGTGGGGAGCAAGGGGAATCCTCGCCTGGGACAAGCGAGAGGCCCGGCCTGCAGCAGGCCGGCATCCTGCCTGGTGGCTGCAGCAGGATCAAAGCAGGCAGCGTTTCGTACCATTTATTCTGGAATCTTTACAGACTGGGGAGGTGGGAGTGTTGGCTGGACAAACGCCCGCGGGCGGGCCCTGCCCCTCGGCCCAAGTGGGGAGAAGAGGCGGCCCCCTGTCCTGCAGCCCCGCCCCACCCGGGAACACAGGACGGGACGCTGGCTGGGACACAGGCATGTGTGCATGCCCTCACGCCGGCCCCCCCAGGCCTGGAAGCCAGCCACGTTTGGTCCTTGGTGGCCCTCACCCTGGGCCAGCCCGGCTCAGGTGCTTCGCCTCCCTCCCATAGCAGCACATCAAAGCCTGCTGCCTTCCCAGGCTCCGCTGGGGAGGGCTGTGGAGAGACCAGAGGGCCCCAGCCCCGAACCTCTGGGTGAGGAAGCAGCTAGGTGGGCGGGCCGTTGCTCCCTGATCTGGCTGGCAAGGGGGCAGGGAATGTTTGGGGTGAGGCGGGACACCTCAGCCCTGGAGAAAGGGGGCGCCAAAGCCTCTGAAAAACGCCAGGCTCTTTTGGGAGTGGGGGGGGCTGTACCTCTACCCCCCCACAGGAGACTGTCCCTGCTGGACCCCAGCACAAGGGGGGTGGGGAGGTGGGGCCGAGGGTCCAGCTGCCCCTGGCTGCCTGGGAAGGGGAAGGGCTGCATCCCAGGGCACTAGAGCAACCTCAGAGAAAGCAGGGGGGCAGGGGGAGGCGCTACTCCGGCTGAAGAGCCCTGAGGGCACAGGCACCCCACACTCTGCTCTGCTCCAGCAGGTGGGCAGGTGAGCCAGGAGGCAGGCCGCCCCGCCCCGCCCAGAGTTCAGGTCCACCGAGGGCAGTGGGGGAAGTTCATGGCTCCTCCAGCCAGGAGGGCTTGTCGGCCCCGGGGCTCTTCAGCTTGATGTTGAACTGCTTCAGCGTCTGCTCCAGCTGCTGCTGGTTGCCGGCGAAGTAAGCCGAGATGGCATTGTGGAAGAGCAGCAGCTGCTTGTGCATCACTTTCACCTGGGGGGAAAGCGGGGGGGGGGGTCAGCGAGCGCCGCGCCACAATGCCCGGCCCCGCAGCCGTGCAGGGGCTGTGCCCCTGCCCCAGAAGAGCCCTACAGCACCCCAGGCCTCCTCCGCTGGCCAGGAACCCGCGCATGGAGCCCCTGGTCTCGGGCAGAGGCCCCGGCTCTGCCAGGGAGGCTCAACGGGGGTCCTGCTCTGAGCAGGGGCCGGACTCGAGGGCCTTCCGGCCCCCTCCAACTCTTCCCCCCATGGCCCTGGCACGCAGGAGGGCGCCTGCTTCCTGCCTGGTTGCCACTCACCTTGTTCTCCTCCAGGAACTTCAGCTTGACAGCCACGTCTGCACGCAGCTTCTCGTACTTGGCCCGGTGGGTCTGGAAGTTGGCCTGGGCGGCATCCAAGCGGCACAGCGTGCTGGCGTCCCGGGGGCCCAGGTTGAGCTCCTCCAGGTCTGTGCGGTAGGCATCATACTCCAGCCTGGAGGGGAGATTGGCGAGCCGGGTCACAGCAGCCCCTTCCCCCGTCCTCGGGGAACCCGGGCAGGTGCCCCATCGGCGAATACCTGGCAGCCTCGTACTGCTTGACAGTCATGAGGGTGTCCTCCATCGTCTTGTTCACCAGAGTGTTGATGCTGGAGACAAAGAAGTTGACGGCCCCCAGGAGGGTCTCCCCGTTCTTGCACAGCAGCTTCTGCGTCTCAGCATTGTACCCAAACTCCTCCTGTAGGCACAGGGTGGCAGTGGGAGGGACTTGGGAAGAAGTCGCCCTCCCCCCCGCACATACACATGGAGCTGCCTGGCCCCCAAATGGTAAGTGAAGCAGCAGAAGACAGTTCCCCCGCCTGGCCGCCCACACTGAGCTCGGGGCGCTGCCCTCGCCACATGGGCCTCCGCAGGAGCTGCGCTTCCCGTCCGGGCCTGGGGCACATGCCTCCCCTCCACAGCCCCACCTCTGCATGCAGAAGGCAGGCCAGCACCCCAGGGATGGTGGTGGCTGGCGAGGCCTGCCGGACGCCGCGCCCAGGGCTGTCTGCCACCGCACTCCCTGCCCCTCCAGATGCCACCAAGGCTCTGCCGCCACCTCTCCTCAGCATACAACCCACGAGTCGCCTGCCCGGTCACACGCGCGCAGCCCTGCACTCTCACCTTGCACGTCCTAACCTGCCGTCCAGGCTCTCTCTGACTGGGGGAAGCAGGAAGCCTGGCTAGGAGGGGGCGCCTGCCTCCCCCCCGCCCCCCACTTCTGGCTCAGGACTGCCAAGCGCCAGGGGTGGGGGCATGCCTTGCTGCCTCCCTTCCCAGGCGCCCAGTGCAAGTTCCCCGGGCAGCTCTGGCTCAGCACGGGCCTGCCGCAGTCCTGCCCCCAGAAAGGCTCCTCTCCCCCTGCCGGCGCAAAGGCCGGTTCCAAGGACTTGCCGTTGGCGTGTGCCATTCACCGAGGTGGCAGGCCAAAGCGGGCTACTCTGTCCCTCGTGAAGCAGCACCAGGGGAAGCGGGGAGCCCAGCTGCAGGCTGGCTCTCCAAGACTATGCGGGGAGGGGAGGGGAGGGGGCTCACCTGGAGCTCAGGGGACTTCTGGCTGAGGTCAGAGAAGGCGTCTGCCAGGGCGTGCTGTGTCTGGACAAGGCTGTAGAAGTGGCTGGTCAGGGCCCGCGCGAGGCCCAGCACCCCCTCGTACTTCCGCTTGGTGTCCCGCAGCAGCTCGATTTGGGTCTCCAGTTCCAGGTCAACAGTGCGTGAGCCACGTCCAAAGCGCTCTGACAGCAACTGCTTTGTGCACTGATCAGCCCCGGTTGGAAGAGAGCAAAAGGAAGCTTGCTCTGAAAAAGCTCTCATGGCAAACTCTCAGTGAAAACCATCGAAACAATAGAGCTTGGATCAGCAAGAAGAGAAAACCAGACGAGGCGTTCAGACGAGGCGTTCACAGGCCACTGCCTGGCGCTGAGCAAATGGGTCAGCACCCGTCCAGGAAGGCCCCCGGTGTACGTGGAAGGGCATCCAGGTCAAAGTCCTGAGGGACCCTGAAGATGAGCTGGTCTCCTCCTCCTCCCCGCACTCCATGAATGGGACCGACCCACCTTTGGGACCATGTGGGTGGCAGCCAAGCCCCAAACTTAACTATGTGTGGCAGGGGTCCCAGTTATCAGCCCGGGACCCCCCACCGAGCTCCGCAGAGTGACATGGCTCTGCAACGTGGGGGGAGAACATCAACCCCCCTATACCAGGCATTGCTTTAGCAGCTGCCTGTTTTTCCTAGGCTGAAATCCCCCAATACTGGAACCTGTCTTCACAGAGGAGGTGCTCCAGCCCCGGCCCTTTTGGGGCGCCCCTTCTTGCTCCGGACCTGCGGTATCCTTTGGGAGGTGCAGTGACCAGAAGAAGCACCCCAGCCGGCATCGAGCGTTGCCTCTGCCGAGTGGCTGCATCCCGGACCTCCAGGATGCTCTGCAGGCAGCCCGGAAAGTCTGGCCAGGCACTGGCTGGGCCAAGGAGGACTGCAGCTGCTGAAGGACACTGCGTGTGGGGAAGATGCCTCTGGGTCCCCCAGTGAGAAAGCACACCCAGAGGGCAAGCCTGGCCCTTCAGAGCAAGGGGGCGCCCTGCAGCCAGGCTGCCCGTGCAGCCCGGCGCCATCTGGCGGGCCACAGGAGAGCCCTGCCAGCCACCGGGCAGGCACACCTCCCGCCTGGCTGGAAGAGGCCCCGCTGCCGCCCACCCCAACCCAGCACAGGGCCTCACCTTGTACGTGTTGATGCCCCATTTCTTGACAATGTCAAACTTCTCCACAGCAACCCCTCGCGCGGCTGCGTCGTCTCCTGCCGCGGCCGGGGTGGGCCGGACCGGGTGCACGGCGGAACCTGAGGTTTGCGAGGAGCGTGTAGTCAGAGTGCGGCTGCAGCCCAGCTGCTTCCCAACAGCACTCCTCGGCCCCTGGGAGAAAGTTGGCGGGGCATCCCTCCCTCCCTCCCACAGGCTTACGGCTCCGCCACCCGGGCTGGAGGGGCAGACCAGTACCTGAGGCCGGGGCAGCGGCAGCGGCAGCCTGGCTGGCTATCCGGCTGGCAGCCGATGGGCTGGGGGAGATGAGCAGTCTCCGGGGTGGGTGAGATGGTGCAAGAGAGCCTGAAATGGAGGGACCCGAGGCAGGGCAGATGCGGGCACCGGGGGGGGAGCAGGGAGCCAGACGGGTGCAGAAGAATGTGAGGGGAGAAGCAGAGGAGCCGCGACAGACACGCACAGAGAGACGCGAAGGCACGACCGTGCCGCAGTGACCCACAGGAGCGATGCGATGGACGGGAGACCCACATGAGGCGCTGCGAGGAGGTGCCCACTGCCCCTTCATCTCGGGGGTAGGACCCACCACCAAGCCCAAGGCCTGGAAGGGTCCTGGAGTGCCCACTGCCTCCTGCCATGCAGAAGCAGAAGGGGGGTGCTTCCAGATGGTGCCCCCCTAAGAAGAGCGTGGAAATGGCAGTCCAGGGGGCCCCTCAGAGGGCAGCAAAGGGCAGGCAGGACGTCCAGCCATCACAGGTGCCCTGAGCTCCTCCTGGAAGCTGACCTTTGATGGCATTGCTGGTGGGAAGGATGCCCTCCGCTGTGCCCCCATAGCCCCCGGAAACAATGCTGGTCTCGTTCAGATTGGGCCCAGACACCATCATCTGTTGAAGGTCCTGGAGAGGGAAAGAGCAGGCTGCAGGAAGGGCGCCCGAGCCAGACAGTGGCAGCCGCCGCCCGGGCCCTTGGCGGAGCCAGCTCTCCCACAGCCCGGCCTGGCCGAAACGGCGGCAGAGCAGCAGCCCTCGGCGTGGCACAGCGGGGGGCAGAAGACAGGCCCACCGGGCGGCTCTGCTCCCGTCCTCGGCCGAGCAGGGGGCCCGCAGCCTTCGCTGCCTGACCGCCCCCTCCGCGGGCCAGTTCCTCCCCCATGCCGCTCCCCCGCAAGGAAAATGGCTTCCGCGCCCAACAGCCCCCTCCGGCCAAGGGCCACGGTGGCCAAGGCACATGGGCCGCGGCCGTGCCGGGGCGTCCCAGCTGTCCCTGCCCTCCAGCCACAGGGCTACCTGCTCCAGACCATCGTCCTCTGCAAGGCGCCTGGAGTCTCCATTGCCATGGATGGGTATCTCCATGGTGGCCGCTTTGCTCATCAGCCCGTCTGTCATGCTCGGGGTCTGCAGGACGGGGAAGAGGGTCAGGGGCTGCCCTTCGCCCACAGTCTGGAGGCTGCGCCCTGTCTCCACCCCACCCGGGACTCCGTGCAAGGCACGTGCCTCCTAGTCACCTGGATTCTTGGCTGAAGCCGTTCACCCCGGTTGGGGGAGGCAGGGCTGCAGGAATGGGGCCCCATTCTGTCTCCAACCATTCCAGGATTTTTCTCTCCTGCATCTGAGAGGCCAGCACGGAGCAGGGCTTGGACCCCACAGCCCCCTGGCCCCTTCCAACTCTACTGCTCAATGAGTCTGCAATGCCACGGCATGCATGCCCAGCCTCCACGCCCCAATCCATGGGGCAGCCCCACTGCAGACCACCTGAGAGCGTGCCGGGAATACAAATCACTGGGAGCATGGCCCCACTCACCCACAGGGTGGAAAAACAGAAACAAAAGGAGACTCGGCCTCTTGCACAACATTGCATCACAAAGCAGGGAGCAATCAAATCACGGCAGCACAAGCGCAGTGATTCTGAAACCATTTCTCTAAGGAACGGAAGACGCCGTCTGCACTGCAATCTTAAAAAATCACTGCTCTAGTGCAGGGCCAGAGGCGAACATCCCTTTCTGACTTTTCCTGCGCTGCTGGTTTCTAGTTCCCAGTCTTTGCATTAGCAGAACACAAGTATGGCTGAGACAGCAGGCAGTGCCGACTTGGAAAAAAGCAAGAGCTGCAATTAACGCTTAAGTAAAAATAAAGCATTTTTTCCCAAGCAGTAACTTTTCATGAAGCAGCTGCTGACCACCTTCTTTTTTAAAGCAGCCTAGATTTCTAACCTCTCACCCTTGCAAAGCCCCCTGCCCATGCATCCCCCGCCCTCCAACATTACATCACCATCATCCTGCAGGGACTTATTTAAACTGCAAAAGTGACGGGAAAACAGCTCAACCACATTTCCCCACAGAATCACAGTTGCAACTCCCCTTGCCAAAAGACAGCTCAGCTTTGAAGCCGGAAAGTCCCTCACAACACGCCCCCCCCCCGAACACCCCAGCAAAACCAGCATCCAGAGCAGCAGCAGCACCTCATGCCCATGTGCCCCCAGTCCAGTATTGCTGAGAAGCAAAGTTTGCTTAAAGGGATGTTGGAAGAATTCTGAGCAGAGGGCAGGTCCAAGGGTGGCTGTTTGTCACAGTGGCCGGCCAGGTGCCTCTGGGATGAAGCCCCTCAGCATGTCAGGATGAGAACCATGTCCTTTCCCTGCAGTTGCTCCACTTGCATTGCATGCACAGCTGATCCAAAGGAACTGGGCAGAGCTTCTATGAGCCGTAACGGGACACAATGCAAAAGTACCAGCCCAGCAAATTTAGGCTAAACAGGAAAAGGCACTTCAGCTCACACAGGTGAGTATGAAAGTAGATTGGGCCCAGTGCTTCTGCTGCATGACTGGAGCAGGCAGATTATTGGCACTGTGGAACTCAAATGGAAGCACCCCTCAGTTCCTGCTCAGTCTGTTTCTACCAGTCAGCTTAAGAACACGGACAGCCTCCTGTCACCTCCAGACACCTTGACACACACACGAAGCTACCCAGGCACTCCTCCAGCACACCAGGAACACGCCAACAACCGTCAATGTGAAAAATGAAACACGTGACACCAGACACATGATGCCTCCAGGTGCTGAACAAAGGAGGTGTCTCTGCTCACCCTATCTTGGGCTTTGGCAGATGGGATCCTCTCTTTTTCCCAGAGCGGGCTGCCTGGATGCCCCTTTGTGCCATTAGAACAGGCCTGACATTCTGTAGATGACCTTCATGTTGAATTGTGGAGACAAAGTCCCTTCAAGCCAATCCCCACCAATGCGACTGCTTTGCAAGCATTCAGCACCGCACCATTCTGACCAAAACCACCCTCCCAGGGCCACATCCCTGCCATACCTCCAGCAGGAGCCACGCTGGCTGAGTACTGCGAGGCCCGGGCACTTGGAAAGCAATACCACTACGGTTTTATTGTGGTTGTGCTTATATCAACCATTAGACTATCCTGGAGGACCAGTGGAGTCCAGACGCCTGCTCAGTGCAGGGCTCCAGTTTAAACCATCCCTGACAAACAGCTTCCAGTGACGGAGAGTCCAGCACAGACAGTTGCTTCCAGTCTGACGTCCTGGACCAGGAAGAGGTTTTTCCTGAAGTCCAACCAAAATCTGCCCTCCTGCAACTGAACTCTGTTATTTCATGTCCTTCAGGCTTGGAGGAAGGAAAACGGACGAGGTCTCTTCTGTGCAACAGCCCTCTGAGAACTGGAAAAGCGGCTGCGTGCCCCTCGCCCCCTCTTCCCAGGACCAAAAGCCTCCTGTCCAGGGCGACTGAGCGCGGCCGCTGCCCTTCCCCGAAGGGCCAGAGCTGCGGCGGACCTGCGGCGGCCATCGGGTCCAGCCCCGGCCCGCTCAGCGGAGGAACCTGGCGTGGAGCTTCTCAGGCCCAGCCTCGGGCTGCAGACCGCACGGCCGCTACGAGGCCGCTTAACTCGGGCCGTACCGGGTCCTGGCGCTCGGACCGAGGCCGGCGCCCGCCCGCCCGCCCGGCTCCGAGGGCGCGCTTGGGGGCCTTTCCGAAGCGTCGGAGGCCTCTGCGGGCTGCAGCCCGCGGCCTTGGCTGGACCTCGTCCGGCTCCTGCGCCGCTGCCTCGGGTAAGGCCAAGCGGGGCC